TGTAAATATAAACAATTCTATGATTATGCTCCATCATTTAATGTTATAATAACTTTGATTTGCTAGCAAGGCTTTTCTTTCTACATTTGTTTATCACAAGGAATACAAAAAAAACAATAAATGTTTGTACGGTATTGAATCCAGGATTATTTTGAATAATATGAAAATATTATCATTTTGCTGAATAGACATCAATTAATATAAAACTTTCAAAAATATTTTTAAATATTCAATAGATCTTACCAAGGGATCCGTCTTACCCAGATGGTTATTTATTTCTAATGATCTTCTTAATGATGATCTTTTTGCATGCATATGTGCTCTTTGCAATAATTCCCTGTGGCATCCATTTTCGTCTTATTATTGTCGCCAAGTTAACCATGCTTCTACATTCTGTTTTGTCATATTGCCGAGTAAGTGATAGATTTCGTTCATATTTTATTATGAAAAACCAAAGTATTATAAAAACAAATTAATACTAAGGGTCAACTAAGCTTTCACATTTGAAGAAAGTACATTTGAGAAAATTTTGTTCCAAAAAAGTTGAGTAACTTTTTATCATCATAAAAAGACTTTCTTCGTAGAAGTAAAAGCGTATTTGCTGGCAGTGACCGGACTTTCTGTCGCAGAACAAATCGTTGTGGACAAAATGTTGCAATAGTTCATAGTGCAAAATATTTATGCATCACCAACCATTTTTGTAGAAAGTATTAGTAAAACGTGAAGAAAAATAATAAGGAACTACTAGAGTTTTTGAAAAAATTTGAAATCTGAATTGAAAAAGGATTCACACATGTACAAACCCCATGAAGTTTTCCACTATCACATTAGAAGAATTTTTTTGTATTAAAGTCTTTCAGGTTCTCTTAATGAAATAAAAGTTTTGGATCATACTGCAATTTTTTCGTATATTTCTTGACAAGGTGTCTGTTGCTCATGTAATTTAACAAAGTTTCAAGAAAGATCCCTTCGGATATACTTGAAGAAAAACCTTCGTGGATTTTGTATAAGTGCGAATCCTTGTGTAATTCAGTTTTCAAATTTTTTTCAGAAACTATAGTAGTTCTTTATTATTTTTTCCACTTTTCACTATTACTTTCTATCAAAATAGTTTGTCCGCAACGATTTGTCCTGCCACGAGCAGTCCTAGTGCCTTTGTTGGCATCGATTGTAATAGCTTGTCGATCAGAACGGTTTGATTGAATGAAAGTAAAGTGAATCACTTTCCGCAGACATAATTGATAATGTATATAGTTATAAAGATCAATTGTTTCTTCGATTAATACAGAGTTGGAGACTTTGCATAGATTTCAGATGAGAAAAAAAACGAATTCTTTAATTAATATATTAAATTGTCTTAGACAATACGAATTTATTTCTTGACAGTAGATTATCATACCTGAACAATATATAATTTATCTTATTACTTCACAGTTATGATGAAACATTCTTATGATGAAGAAAGAGTGATTCGAGAGGACGAATAAGTTGTGACATGTAAAATAATGAACTAAAAGTAACAAACGAAAAAAGTAAATGTGCATAAAAC